CTAGCCTACTGGATCTTAGTCCATGGCGTCACCAGGCCAAGGACTCCCCACTACTCCTGCTTGAGAGGTGAATATGCGACTAAAGTCACTGCAGGGCTGTGTTCCGGCTAGTCTGCCTGTTCCCAGAATGTCCTCTGTTGGAGCCTCCTAGTCTATGAAAGGGTCCCCAATTTCACTCACTGCAGGTCGAGCCAGTCCCGCTCCCAACGCCGTTTGGGCTGATTTCCAGTCTCAGAGCTTTTGTGCGCCTCTCTCCTTGCTGTGCGGATTGGGACGCAGTATTGGCAGCAGGAAATTCAAATTGCAACTCCCAATGGTGCGGGATCCAGCTTCCGCACTGAGATTTTATCTGTTCCTGTTATAGCATCAGGATTGCATTTCCAGTTGGTTTCTCTCAGCTTACTTTGTTCCTGGGTCAGCAAGGTACATCTCCCCTAGTGTAGGACTCCTCACACGGCCCTGCTCCTGGATTCTAAGTTGGTAATCTCAGAGAGCCTCCGTGGCTGCTGTTATTTGTCCGCCATGTTCTCCCGGAAGTGGAGTGACATGGAATCTTAGTGTTGTCTTAATTTACATTTCTCTAATGAAAATGATGCTGAACATTTTTTCATATATTTATTTGCTGTTTGAATGTCTTCATCTGAGAAGTGTGTGTTCATCTCAGATGCCCATTTTTGGACTGAGCCTTTGAATTTTGGGGACCTGATTTTTAAAAAACTCTATATGGTCTAGATAGAAGTCCTTTGTCTAAGGGACAGTTGGCTAAGATATTTTATCAATTTGGTTTTTTTTTCACTTTGTTGGTTTCTTTTGATATGAAAAAACTTTTTAATAAGATGAGATCCCAGTTGTTGATTCTGGGAAGTATTTTCTGTGCAGTTTGATTTTTGTTCATGAACTTTCTGCCCACTCCTATGTATTCAAGTTTTCTATCTATTTTGTCTTCCAGCAGATTTAGTATTTCTGTTTTAATATTTAGATCTTTGATCCATTTTGACTTTAGTGTATGGTGATGGACATAGGTCTAGTTTTAGTTTTTGGCATATGAAAGGCCAGTTTTTCCAGCAACACTTAGTAAAGAGGCTATCTTTCCTCCAGTGAAAGATTTGTCAAAGAGAAGGTGGCTGAGTGTGTTTGTAGTTGTGGCTATATCTAATCTATTCCATTGATCTTCAAGTCTGTTTTTATTCCAGTGTTATGCTGCTTTTATCACAATAGCTTTGTAATATAATTTCAAATTGAGATTGTGATGCCTCCTTCCTTGCCTTTGTTGCCCAGAATTGGCTTTGCTATTCTAGGTCCCTTCTGGTTCCATATGAATTTTAGAAATGATTTCTGTAAATCTGTGAGGCATCCAAATGATATTTTGATTGGAATTGCATTAAATATGTGTAACAATTTTGGAAGAATGGTCATTTTCACAATGTTTGTTTTTCCTATCCATGAACAAGGAATGTCTTTCCATTTTCTGAAATCCTCTTTGATTTCTTTTTTCAGAGTACTGTAATTATCAATGTATAGATCTTTTACTTCCTTTGTTAGATTGATTCCTAAGTATTTCATTTTTTGGGGTGCTACTGTGAAGGGTATGGCTCCCTTATTTTTCTCTCAGTGAGTTTGTTGTGTACAGGAATGTTATTGATTTTTGAGCACTGCCTTTATATCCAGCTACATTACTGAATTTGGTTATTAATCTAGAAGTCTTTCAATGGAGTTTAGGGGTCTTCTATGTAGAGTAATATCATCTGTAAATAATGATCATTTAACTTCTTCTTTTCCAACCCTTATTCCTTTTCTCTCTTTTGCCTAATTGCTCTGGCTAATGTTTACAGAAATACATGGAATAGGAGTGGTGATAATGGGCATCCTTGTTTCTGATTTTAGGTTGAAAGTTTTCAGTTTTTGTCCATTTAGTAAGATGTTGGCTGTTGGTTTATTGTATATGGCTCTTATCAGATTGAGGTAAAGACCATCCATTTCAATTTTCCAGAGTTTTTATCATAAATGAGTTTTGGACTTCTCAACAAGATGTTCACCTTAAAATACTGCATAGTTTCAGTTTGCATTATCTTAAGGTGAACATCTTGTCATGTTTTTGTTTGTTGTGCTTTGTATTGAGACTATAAAATCTTACTATGTATTCCTGGTTGGCCTTGAATTCTCTAGGTAGCTTAGTCTGATCTCAAACTCATGATTCCCCTGCCTAAGCCTCCTGGGTGCTGGGATTATAGACATGCAAAATCATACCAGGCCTGTCATGTGTCTATGAGTCACTGGTACATCTTTTTCTCTGGGTATGTTTTTTTTTTTTACATTTTTAAGGGAAGATACAGCAATTTTTGTTTTTTTAAATATATCTTGTATGTAGATACCTTCTTATTTAATATCTAGTTAGATTTCTAAAATTCATCTATATTCTTTTATATGGAAAACCCTAAAGGAACCTGGACATGGTGAGGCATGTGTGTGGCACCACCTACTCCAGACATTGAGGAAGGGAGACTGAGAGATTGAGGTAAGCCTGGGCAACATACTGAGTCCTTTCATCAATTTAAAAAGGGCTTGGAAGAATAATACAAATGAAAAAGGGCTTGGGTTGTTATAGTATCTGCCTAGTATGCATGAAACTGGGCTCCATTCCCAGTGCCACAAAACAAGAAAATAATGAAAGAACACCTCAAGGATGACAATCATATCACTGTTGTGAATAATAATGTGTCCACTCCCATGGTGCTAGGGATTAAACCCAGGGTGTGTGCATGGCAGGCAAGCTCTCTTCCCACTAAACTCTATCCCCAACCTCACTTCTCCCCTGGTCTCTCCTTTTCCTTCTTTCTTCTTCATCTTGGTCTCACCAAGTAGTATATGCTGGCCTTAAACTCACTGTCCTCATACCTCAGCCCTGAGTAGCTGGGATCACGTGTGGAATACACAATCTTTTATGTACACTGAATTTACTAAATTCGTATTTTTGCATCTTTTGTCATAAGTATGATTGCTTTTGTTGTATTATAATTTAATGTTCTTACACTATCCTAGTACAGTTTTGACATCAATATTTTATTAAACTCGATTGCATAGGAAGGAAATACTTCCCCACATGGTGACGTGAGGAAGTACTTGTTTTGAAACATGAATACACCAAACATATGGTGTATCTGGTCAGAGGCTTCACCTGAGTTTTGTTGTTTTTTTTTTTTTTTTTTTTTTTTTTTTGGTCTTTTTCGTTTTTATCGGTACCAGGGATCGAACTGATGACTGCCTGCTTGCAAGGCACTTTGTTGTCTTTTTACTTTCTTCTTTTTTGCACTGAACTCAGGAACTTGAATATAAGTTAAGTGCTCTACCACTGAGCTATGTACTCAGGTTTCTTTTTTCTTGGTACTGGGAATTGAACTCAGGACTTTGTACTTGCCAGACAAGTGCTATGCCACATAGGCTATAATCCTGATCCCCTCAGCTTGTTATTTATCTTATTTTGAGACAAGATTTCAAAGTTACAAAGGCAGGCCTCAAATTTGCAATCTTCTTGCTTACAGGCTATGGTTCTCTTTGGGGGGGCTCTGGTCCTTACCTTGAGCACTGCTGCTTGTCTCCAGTGCAGATTCCTCAGCCTGCTGGCACAGATCCTTCACCTTGTTGGTATAGACTTTTTAGCTTCCACCACTGACCTTTGGGCCTTCCCAGTGCAGATCCCTGATACACTTACATGAGACATTGTTGTGGGCTCTAGGCCTGCAGCTGAACTGATGGAGGACCTAGAGCCAGGGGCTCTAGGTCTTCAGCTGAACTCCTGCAGGACACTGCTGTGGAATCCAGGTCCTCAGCTGGATTCTTTGGCTCTGTAGCACGTGGACAGATCTGTTGCATTCCTCTCTATTTGACTTTTTGGTGAATATTATAAAATAATCCTATAAATTATGTATTCTGTATTAAGTATGTTCCCTTGCAAATCCTGACTATAAGACTTTTTTTTTTTTTTTTGTCTTTTTTGTCTTTTTCCTTTCTCGGTACTGGGGATCGAACTCACGACTGCCTGCTTGCAAGGCAGGCACTTATGCGGCTGAGCTAAATCCCCAGCCCCTGACTATAAGACTTTAAGGGCTGGATGAAAAAGGTTTTGAAAACATTCAATTTTTAGCCCGGTGTGGTGATGCACACCAGCAGAGGAGGCTGAAGCAAGAGGACTGTAGTGAGTTCCAGGCCAGCCTGGACTACATAGTGAAACCGTGTCTCAAAACAAAACAAAACAATCCCCAGAAAACAAAAAAATCAACTTTAAGAGAGGCTTTTTTGGGTATCCATGAACTACTTCATTTTAGAATGCTTGACTGGCAACTACATGATCAGTTTGTTTGGAGCAAGCATATACTGTAATAATTGTTAGTCCCACATTGGAAGTCTGGGGAGGTAGGTGGCTCGGGAGGGACAATGATCTAAGACATCCTGGGAGGGAGCAACTAGAGAACCTGTACAGGATAAAATATGAGTTTTGTGACTATTGAAGAGATAAGAAAATATTCATTGGATTATGAGACAGTATACTTGGTTAATTATGGTGGTGGGAGGTAAGTCTGAGTAAAATGATGACTTAACTCCTTTTACCTCAAGGACATTGTGAATTACCCTAATAAACAATGGTAGGCTGGAAATAAGTATAATTCATACCACTCTTTCTCGGTTCAGGAATAGGTTATCCAGAGACTTAAATTAACAACCTTTGTCATTCTCTTGTATGGCTTTGACAAAAGAATACTGACTCAGTACAGGAAAACTGGGTTGCTTGAAAAAATAAGGCACCAGCTGGTGGAGAGACTCGCGTTGGTGTTAGGAAGACTAAATAAAACAGGTAATATTTGGCAAGCAGCAGAGACTGCAAGTGGACTTTCATTTCCGCCCACGCTCACTGCCTGGCACAATCACTACAGAAAAGCGATCTGCGGTTGCGTCTTCTGCAACGTCTGCGGCTATAGTCCCAAGGTCTCAGACATGAGTATTACCTTCTGCAGCGGCACGTTTCACAAATGCTGTGGGGTGGGAGGAAAAATCCAACTTCCTTCAGCTCCCACGGCAGCCGTGACAGCAGCGTCCATCTCAGTGTAACTCCCTAGGGTGGCTGCGGTTCTAGGCCGCGGGGGTGGAGTAGGGGGTGGAGCGGTTTGGAAGTTTGGGCAATGGGCAAGTCGGCTCCTTGATTTCTGGCAATCCATTTTCTACGGCAAGCAGCAAGAGTCAAACACCGCCACTTTTCCGCTCCCATCTACTGCCTCTCGCCAGAGACTGTCTGGCGTGCCTCTCCAGAGGCAGCAGGGGTCGTGTGAATGCGTGCAAAAGGATCTGGGCTCGCGACTAGTGTTTGCGCTCAGTTATAACTTGTCACCTACTTCGCCCCGCGGCCTCCTTTACCCTCGCTGGAGACAGGGGTGGCCTGCAGAACCTTGCGCCACCCTCTGGAAGTGAGGGAAGGCAAGGCGGTCGCGCTCCAGTTGGAGGAAGAGCCCGGCGTCGCACGCCTGGAGGGGGCGGGGCTAGGTGTCTCGCGCAGGGGGCGGGCCGCGGTGACGTCGGGTGCGCCGGACCGTGCTGTGGCTGTGGCGGCGTCTGTGGTAGAGGCGGCGGAGGGGCGGCAGTGACGGGGGAGGCGGCGGCGGCGGCGGTGGCGGCGGTCGTCCGGAGCTGGGTGAGGGGGATACGGTGGTAGGAGCCGGGCGGGACCTGTCGCTTTTTGCCTGTCGCTGGCACTAAGGCGTTTGCCTATTCTCACCGGCTCCGCTCTCCGGCCCTGGCTCGGCAGGGCAGCGCGCCCTAGGGAAGGGCGGAGCTGTAGGTGAGGCTCGGGACCCCTCCCCACCATTGCGGGCCGGGGGCTGGAGAGGTCCCAAGGGTGTGGTAGGGTGAAGTGGGGTGGGGTGTGCTCACCCGACTGGTAGCCCACCGGCGGGCTCCACCCTGCAGGCTTCGGGGTGGGGCGGAATCTGAGGCGGTGGCAGAGGCGGCGGCGGCGACGGGGACCCTGGGCTGGAGGAGGTGGGGGCTCCGGGTGCTCGGAGGAAGGTGAGCAGGAGGTTGTGAGGCGTGATGTTGCGGGCAAAGGTAGTGGGAAGACAAATTGGGGAGTCCCAAGGTTGGGGTGCGGCCAGGGTGGGTCTGTGGGTTCATATAACTAACGTAAAATGTTGACAATGAACCTCTTTTTTTTTGAAATGGGTCCGAAGATGTTGAGTTTTATTTCAAAAGAAAGATCGTCTGTGGTTGTTGCCTTTGAGGCAGTTGAAGAAGCTATTGCATTATATCTCACATTTTTACTTTAGGGTTTTATCCTATTTCTTTTTCTTTTGGCGGGGTTAATAGGGGTTCTGGGAGGGATAGTAATCTTTTTGCTTTGACTGGGGATAGATGAATTATGAGCGAGGATGGATCTGAAGTTTTACACCTAAGAAGGAGATCTCAGTTTTAAACTTCATTCTGGCAGCAGTCAGTAGGGAATAGGTCTCATTACAGCTAAAGCTGTTTTCCAGGTTTTAAAATTTTCCTTTCTTTTTCTCCCCCCCTCCTCTCTTTCTTTACTTTTTTCTCCCTGTACGTATAAGGTCTCTTATACTACTTAAAAATAATAGGCTTTATTGGGGCTCCCTAAGTAACAGCCTAAGATTCAGGTGGTTGCTTTCTTTGGATGAATACATTTCTGAGTGATAGTTGCAGGTGGTTGTGTTGACTGCTTTAGGTGGATGAAGTGAACAATTCGAACATTTCTATTCGAGCTGATTATGTGACAAGTGTTTAAATATTTTCGTAGCTGCCTTTTACAGCTTTTCATTAGATGTTGCTATCTGGACATTTGTGTTTAACACCGAATTCTTGGAGATTATTTTTTAGTTGCAGGTGTATTTATTACAAAATTGGTTTTTTTGTAAGTCGGTCCCTCAGTTTCCCAGAAATATTCACAGAACCAAGTACAGTACTTTTTTATTTTTTATTTTCAAGTACAGTACTTTTAAAATGCTCTTTAATAGCATTTTAGAAGCACGTGTCTTTGTTGGGAGATGTTACTGAGAGTAAAGAGTGTTCACTGTTCTTCTTAATGTCAGTGTTTCACAATTTAATACAGTAAATCTGAATCGTCTTTTCTGAATTCGTATTTCCTGCACAGTTACAGTAATTACAAGCCTTACCTATTAGTGTCAATATAAGCTATTTCTTGTTCAGAGAACAGGCCCTATCATGGGCATGCATCATGTGATGGATGAAAGTAGTGATGACTCTTAATTCATTTATGGAGGAAGAGAGGAAGATGAAATGGAATTTAGTGACTTTCTAAAGGCTTACTCAATTTATTTGGGAAAATTGCCAGAGAAGTGCTTTCCTGTAACCCAAGAGAGAAATATACAGATTAATTCCAGTAGTTGGAGATTGCCTTTTTTACATTCTTACTTAATGAGTAGACTGTTCTCCAAATACTTCTGCTTGTAGAGACTTAAAGGAAGCAGAGGATATAATAGCTACTAAGTGAGAAAGTGTGGTGGTCCAAGTTGTAATTATGGATAAAGGATTAAATTAGATATATTAAGACAGACTGAGTGATAGGTTGGTGTAGTAATTTTAATTGTTCAGAAAGAAAACTTAAAATCTGCATATTTAGTTTTGATTTTTAAACTATATATAAGTTTATATATATATATATATTTTTTTTTTTTTTTTTTTGGTCTTTTGAGACAGGGACTTCCTGTGTAGTTCACTCTGGTCTTTAGCTCACTTGGTATCCCAGACTGGTCTTGAATTTGCAACAATACTTCTGCTTCAACCTCCTGGAATTACAGGGGTGCGCCACCACACCTAGTTAAATTATATTTTGATTTAATTAATTGTGATAAATAGGAGCTGAGATATTGGGTGAAACTTGTATGTGTACACTCCTAAAATGATGTTTGCATTGTTGACAGTGAGATCTAATTCTTTTCCTTATAGAAACAAAATCATACAATTTAGGGAGAATTCTAAGGTAGAAGCAACCTTAGGGAACTGGATAGAAGTTTTTGGACCAAAAATCTTACATTTTATTTTTGAAAAATATTGTTTGCCATTGTTTCTGTGATATCTTTGTTGAACTACTGACATGTTCTTATTTTTTCTAAAGTCATAAATATATCAGTCAATGAATTCAGCATGAATACCAGAAACTTAGTAAGTGAAGGTTTGCATAGCTGCCTTGTTTTACTCCATGTTTGTGCTTTTAGAAGTAGTATGAGAGCTGTTAAATGTGCATTTGATATATATTTTACCAGGAACATTGATGGGGAGAGGTCAGGGAACTTAATCTCCAGTACCTTGATTTTCAATTTTCATAACGATTACAGTTCAATAAAACAAATTTAGCATAATGATTAGGTTCCTCCAGTCTTCTGGTGTCTTGGAGGGTGGGCTCTGGCATCAGTGTCTGAGTTTAAATCCTGCCTATGCCATTGTATGATCTACTCATACTTCTCAACCTTAATTTCCTAATCTTAATTTGTGCCTTAATTTCTTCATTTCCAGAATGGGAGTAAGAAAAGTAGTATCTAACTTTTTAGGATGTTTAAGTGAGTTAATTTAAATAGTTAGAACAGTTTGCTAACATCTATTGAATTTTTTACTGTAAATACAATTTATTCACTTAATGATTACATATGAGCAAGTATTATGTTCCAGATTTCTAGATATTGGCAGTATGACAATGAACAAAGCTACCCAAAATCTGATTTTTTTTCTTGTCTTTTTTAGGTAGGGTTTCAATATGCAGCTCAGGTTATCCTTGAACTCACCTTGTAACTCAGACATGCCTCCAACTTGCAGCAATCTTACTGCCTTAGCCTCTTGAGTGCTGGGATTACAGGTGTGTGCCTGTAAACAAGTGAATCCTGAAGCAAAACATCTGAATCTTGGTGGAGCATTTATTCTAGTTGAGGAGACAGATGATAAAATAACTAAAGAAATAAGTTGTATGCATATATTAGGAGTGGATAAATACCATGAAGACAAATGAAGCAAGAAGACAAAGAATATGGGGATAGGGGTTTAGGAGGCTTATAGATCACTGGAAAGTATCTATTTGATTATGGTTGGATGGCTGTTGCGGAGTTTGTAGTAGAGGAATAACATATCTGATTGTTTTAAAAGAGAAAGGCTCTGACCACTTTGTGGGGCCTTAGATCAGAGGTGCAAGCTACAAGTAAGCTAGAGATATAACATCCTTAGTCAGGTGGCTCTTTTGAAGTATTCAAGGTGAAAAAGAGTTTGACCAAGGATATAGTAAGTTGAAGTGTTGAGAAGTTGTGTTAGCATTCCTGTTGTTGAACACAGTATGTGACATCTGCAAGTTAAAGGAGGAAAAGTTTTTTATGTTATTTGCATACAGTTTCAGCTGATGATCGCCTGGCTCCAAGGCAGAAACATCATGGCAGAAGGCTGAGGAAAGGAACCAGAGTAAGGGAAGAGTACCAGAGTGGAAAGGCAAGAGATGGAGATACACCCCAAGACCATTCCTCCGTGACTCATCCGGATACACTTAGAAGTGTGCTTCAGCAATCCCATGGCAGATGTTGAAGTTTCATGTTAACTTTCACAGAATTGGTTGGAGTTTGGATCTCTTTTCAGGGTAGCCCTATAGTGTTGGCTGGTTATTCCGTGTGAACAAAACAGAAAAATAAAGAATGAAGTTTTTGGCCTGAAGAACTAAAGAATGAAATTGCTACTGGAAATGGGCAATGATGGGGCATGTCTGGGAGAAAACCAGACATTCAGGCAAGATGTCTAGAAGAGTGAGAAATTTGTTTTTTTTCACTGGCATGTAAAATTATGATGGGAATGAGATCATCAGGGGAGTAAATTTAGGTCGAGCAAAGATTGGAATATCTGAGTCTTCGTGCATGTCTTGTTAGTTTTCTTATTGCTAGAATGTAATATCTGATACCTAAAGTTAAAGGAGGAAAGGTTTATGTTGGCTCACAGGTTATGGAGGTTTCAGTCTCTAGTTGGCTGGCCCCAGGGCAGGATGGTATGACAGAGGGACATGGCAGAGGAGAGTTGCTCATGGCACAGCACACAGGAAGCAAGAGAGATCAAGGGATTAGGGAAAGGGATGTACCCTTCCAAGGCTGAGGCACACTGACTGCCTTCTTCTGAGGAGTCTTCACCTCCCAACGTCATATTTAGCTGATAAACTCCTGAATGGAAATCCACTGATGAGTATCATGCCCCATGATTTGGTCATCTCCCAAGCGCATGAGCCTTTGGAGGAACATCTTTATATAAATTAGAACAGGACTGATTAATTCACTTATTTACTTAACAATTGTTAGTAAGTATGGCCTTTCCTGTTTTTGTTTTTTTCTTAGACCTTGAGGGTACAACAGTGAACAAAGCTTACAAAAATCTGTGTTTTCTGAAATGAAGAGGAACTCAGCAGACTGATAAGAGGTCACAGACTAAAGAGGAAAATCAGGAGGCTGGCTTTAGCCCGGTGGTTCCTTCGAGTCTGGCTCCCCAACCGCCCGGGCCGACTGGTCCGGTGGTTCGAGACCCGCGGGCGCTCTCCAGTCCTTTTTTTAAAAAAAAAAAAAAAAAAAAAAGAGGAAAATCAGGGTAGTGTGATGTTCTGGAAGTAGAGGAAAGGAAGTTTTCAAGGAGGGAGTGATCAGCTGTGTCATTGTTTAAAGATGTGCCTAGAGTGTGGGGTAATAGATATGGTCTGCTCAACTGTAATGCATAGCAACAGAGGGATGAGATGGATGGGATAAACGTGAGAATCTTCAGCTATTTACTTCCATGGTTTGGTTTTAAAAAAAATTTCAC